GGCTTTTTCCCATTTTCTGTTGGTCACAGGAAGTATTCTTGTGAACCTTGTGCTGATATAACGTAATTGTTTACACCCAAGTGCTTTCAGCTATCCGTATTATCACCATTTAATCTTATATACACCTGTAAAGCATCTAGAACACCTCTGCTATAAAAATTAATTCTTGAAAGAGCACCATAAACGGGTAAGGTAGCAAAGTAAAATTACCCTTTCATCAGCGTAGCCAGTTAAAAATGATATGTGATTTTTATAGTTTAGTGGAGGATGGTATTTGGATGGCTTGAAAATTAGTTTGCTTGGTAATACAGGCTTTTTTCCTCCCCTTCCTGGGGAGGAGAAGAAAGGGAGAATGCAAGAGAAGGAGGAAGGATGAGGAAAAGGAGCCAAAATTCAGCTTTGCGCTGTGAACACAAAGCAAAACACCCTTTTACAGGCCACCCTGAAATCTGAGATGTCGTTTCTTTCAAATTTCATTAATTGCCATGGAAAGGCCTACCTAGAGAGAGAGATCGTAGCTGAATGAGTTTCTTGCTCCTAGAGAACAAGCCAAGCTACAGAAGACACTCAGCCACAGAGAAACAACAGTGCAGAACAGGCTTTAGCTCTCTCAACACCTATGCCAACTATGTTACCACTGATCCTTGACATTACGTTGCACCTATCCCAAAAAACATCTGAATAGTCTCTCCAGTTTATTATCAGAGATCACTATTTCATTTATGCTACGCCATCTAAAATCCAGATTTTGCTAGATGACCACAGCAGATCTCAGTTACTTCCTAGTGCACCAAAATGGTTTGGTTTTCCTTTCAGGATGTAAGGACTTCACGTCCAAGCCTTTATAACGATAAAGTGTCTTCTCGTACATGTATTTGCTCTACTAGGCTTTTGGCCAGTACCACTGTCAGGCAGCTAAATGAATTTATTTCTCTCTGTGGACAATTTTAGTAAGAAAAGCATACTATTTCTGAAAAGCACAGAGGCACCTCTGCCTTTCATTTCTCTACTTCTATCTCTCAATGGAAAGAGAAGTTTCAAAATCAAACTCCTGTGGGCTAAGTAAACCTTAAAAATTTCTGCTCTGTAAGAGGACTACAGGTCTGACTTTCCTCTCTCTAAGGGTCACTGCACAGTAGAGTTTTCTAAAATAACTGGATGTGAGTCTCAGTGAGAAAGGTAATGTATTTAGGGGCTTAAGAGCCAGTGGATTCTGATATATAACAGTCGACCCTACTTTTTTTAACTTGGTTAAAAAGCATTTGGCATTTTCTCAACTCAGGACTAGTACAACACTTTCATCCCATCTCAGCATTCTTAAAACAGTCAGGTTATCAGGCTCAAAGAACTTCTGCCAAAGGTGGATGTGAGCCATATGCATTCATTCTTATTCCCATCTGTTTTCAGTTGAGAAAATTTCAAGATTTTTTGGCAAATGTCTTTTAATCTTTCTCTGCCCTCCACTACTGATTATCAAGTTACTAGCTCTCATAGATAGATACCTTGGCTTTAGTTTTTCAGTGCTCAGGTCTAGAGCTAGAGTCCCAACACACCAGTTTATTTCACTATTTGTTACAGATCAGAAACTGCCGTTGTCATTGTTTATTAATCAAGTCCACAAAAATAACAGCTACTTTCCCTGCCTTTTTAAAATTACAGACCTGATCCAGAAGACTTCTTACTTTTATCCTAAGAATAAAGTACTATTTTATTTAAAAAGGGCTGGAAAAGACAAACCACTGGACACAATGTACCCCTAAACAAAAGGAAGTATTCAGAGTGAAAATATAAATTGTTTTTTAAAATTGTACTCCCAGCATTTGATCGGACTTTACTCTTCCAGCTACTTGTTATGAAATATTCAGAAAAGACGTCTTAACGTTTTCTTTTACTAACACATTTAGATCTAAGTTAGCCTCTATGTCCAGTCATGTCAGTAAGTGTCTAATATGAAGCTGTCCTTTATTTTGAAACAGACATTGTTCTCCAATCTCCTTTTATGTTGCACTGATTCTGTGTTCCTCTTGCATGACTACTTCACAGCAAGATTTATTCTGCTCCTCACGAGCCGTGCTGTTCTGTGGGATTCACCTGAACCACCAGAACTGTTACATCCCCAGAATTACTAATAAATAAGGGAGCTTTTACATCAAATGGATGAAGTACAAAATGTCTCAGTAATGCGGATGGGAGACAACAGTCTCATACAGTGGTATGATCTTAATGAGAAGGTCTGGTGTGTTCTTCACTTAGACAGGGTAATAATGTGGGCTGAATGAGTTTACGCAGAGCCATGTCTCTATTTCCTAGCATCAACAATTCAGTAAAAGCTCACAACTGTCATGTAAAGTTGGACACTTAAAATAAGAAAACCCCACTTAATCTTTAACAAAGTATCTTCATTAAGAGTTACGCACAAATAATTTGCCATCCACATATCTGTACTACACCTGCTGTATCTACATTAAGTTACACGTTTACTGCCTTATACAAACAGAACTGCCAGCAGCACACTTCAGTAAGCCACCAATATATGTTTATTCAATCATTTTTTATCTAGTGTATCAAAATCCTCCACTTTTTTGCTTAACAACGTAATAAAGCTGCTGGTAAACTATTACACAGCTTTAAATCACTAGGTTTGCCACCGCAAATAATCCATGAAAGCAGTGACTCTCTTTTAACTTGTTTATATATGTATTAAGGGAGAAATCCTTCCCAGCATGAAAGTAGCTATCAAGAAAGATGTTTGATATAGGCATTGATTTAAACAACAGAGGAGATTCAGTTCACTATCTATGCATATTAGTTTCAACTTTAGGGATTCAAGAGTGCCATCAGATCTATTTTATGAATGCGGCAGATCGTACTACGGTTCTGCTCAGTTCCAGGACATTGCACGGTATTAAAACTTTCAACACCGATGCAAAAGTTAATTCAAAGCATCATTTAAAATAGCAAGCACCACTACATTGTATCTCTCTACGTGTTTTGATCCAAGCTAGAAGAGCCTCCTGCACAACTTCTTGCACATTATCAGTATATAATATAACCTGTTAGTGAGAAGTATTTGAATTATTATGAAATTCCATCCTTCCTAGTGTAATACTCTATGGCTGCACTTGTAACAAAAGAAAAACATCAGATGATCATGATAATTGGAAGCACACAGAGAACAGATCAATTACAATTTAGGCAACCGAAAATAATACTGTTTTTCAGTGAGCAAGATGCAGATGCTACACTTGGAAGATCTTCCAGAGCTTGGTATCTGGGTCACGCAGCTGCCAAGTTTGCCTTCTGGGTATTTCATCAACAGAAAAAGCAGCTGAAGGGGATGTTTACACTTCTTAACCACAGTAAACAAGAACAGGCACTGCCAATTGCATGTTTAGAGAAATGAGTGTGGGGCTGCGGTGCTACAGCGATAGCTAGGTTTTCTTTTTCTAAACCTTAACTAATGCCCTGACAAGACCAGCTCTACTTGTTCATATGTATACAGTAAGAGAATTTAGAATGCAAGAAGTATAAGGCAATATAATAGCTGCTAGCTCTTTAGGCAGCACAGAGACCAAAATGCTACTAAACAACTAGAGGTATGAAACATTGTGACACTGAAATACAACTCCACTGCCTCATCTAATCTAAGATTTTCAAGAGGGATTATCAATCTGCAGTTACTAGCAATTCTGCCTCAAAAGCCATAAAAGCCTGAAGCTGTCCAAGTTACAGTGATCTAAACCTTAATCTGTATTTTAAATCACTAGCAAAGTTAAGCATAAAAGGAATACATGTAACAGAACGTGGCCTAGACATGAAATAAATCTTTAGTATTTAGTGGCTTATCTGTTTCTTGCCTCCTCACTACAGTAAGAATTTACTTCAAGTGATAATCTTAATCACCAAGGGATGACCATGAAAGGATTTTAATTTTTAAGTCTGTGGTACACTGACATTCAAACCAAAGGCTAAATGGAAAAACACCTCAAACTTATTTATCACAGAGACTACTTCTGCTATGTTTTTATTAAATAAAATTTCTTCATTAACTGTAATAATTGAAAAGGTACCAATATAAAGCCAAGATTCTCCTGCCTTTCGACCTAATCCTGCCTTCTTACAACAACCCAATTGAAAAGTATCACCATGGACATTACATGTTGGTAGACAGCCAGTAGGAAAGGGCAACGCCTACATCCACACAATACAAAAAAGGACAAATACCTCTCATGAAAGGTGACGTTCACCACGATAAATAATTTTAGATTGCAAAAGTAATGTTGTAAGACAATAAGAACTTGTTTTTTTTACTGATTATGTACCTGAAATCTTCAGTTACTTATGTGTCAGGCACGAAGATTTCCAGGTTTTATGCTAAATTTGTGCTGGAATACCTTCCCTTTTCTCATTATGTAACTTCTAAGAACCTGGCCATAGCTTTCCGGATGATGTGACTTGCATGCTTTTACAACTTTCCAGAGACAAAAGACTGCATCCATTTAACAACCGGCATTTTGTGTTACACGGTTTTGTTCAGTGGATCAATGATTTGTGAAATTACTACTCAAACTCTTTCTGACATTAAAAAGTGATAGCATCTCACTCAATATTTTGATAGATCTTCATCCATCAAACTAATCCTGGTTCTAGAGAAAAGGGATATCGTTCCATTCAACCAGCATGAAAATCTACTCAAACTTCACAGAAGCTTTTGAAGGTTGGAAGCGCGCATTTTATTATGCCGAGAGTACTCGCGCTTTTGTATTTAATATTTGATCATATAATACACAAGATGTCACAAGCATTTCACTAAAAGCCTACTTCAGAAAAAATCTTTCCATCCGATAATCATACACCATTTATGACTTAGTTCGTTATGCCCAAAGTACTTCCTCTCCCCAATTTACTTCCATTTGTTTTTTTGCTGAGCAGAGGACATGACTCCAACAAAAAATAAGATTTTTCAGGCAATCCTGTCAGAACGGGTTATTCTAATTACAGTAAACATTGTTGGTGTCTGGGTCTGATCCAAATGAGAGTTTAATAACAATATAATTTCTCTTTGGCCTTTTAGTGTACACAAAAGACATTTTGTGCTGTATCTCTTAAGCGGGATGTACAACAGAGATGGAGTAGGTTTGAGTGACCATAATTTCTAAGGGACCTTTTCTGTAATGTCATTTCTTGGGTTGACCTAGAAGCAGCTGAGGTGCCCAGGGCCTCCCTCAGACTGGAAGTTAGGTGGTTCTGGAGCACTTGAGGCTGTGGAATAGGCCCTAGAATCTTTAGCTCTCCTCTGCACCTTCCTTGTGTGGCCAGATAACAGTCTCTTAAGGCCATTTCAGGTCGTATTCATGTACTGAGGAGCAAAGACAAAGAAGTGAGAAGTAGTCATTTCAAATCTCTCTTGCAAAGTCCAGATAAATCAAAGTTAAGCCCTTTTTCCTTTCTCACCTCTCCTCCTCCCCTCTCTGCTCTTTAGGCAGCTATTATGGATGTTTAAAACCTTGTTGTTCACTCCTAACTTTGTCGCCTTTTTTGACTAATGAATATGCTCCCCTTCTTTCTTGCTTTGTCCACTTCAATAGCTGCACTCAGGAAATGGTAACTAAGGCTTCTGCTTTGTTGCTTTATCAGCATAGGAAAAAAACATGGTAATTCTATAGTTGTCCATTGGATAACAGGTATAGCGAGGGACGAATCACTATCAGAATGTTAAGAATTAATAAAAGGAAATGCTTAGAAATGACTTTGTCTCCATGAAGAGGCAGCTACAAGAATGCAGATTAAATGTATGCCTTAAGAAACCTCTTCATCAGCAATTAAAATCTTTGCAGTGCAAATAACATCCAAAAAGAAAAGAAAACTGTGTATGCTAAGAAACGTGAATCTTTCCGAATCCATTCATGTCAGCTGACCTGTGCAAAGAAGCGACATGCTCAGATTTTAATCACCTTTTCAAAAAAAGTGACTTACTCATTTGTCCTTCGCTTTTTGTCTTGTGACGCCACCAGTACACACATTCCTGGCACTTGTCTGGAGCTTGGAGTCCAGGAGTAAGAGAACAGTCATTCCTCAGAGCAGGTCAGTCCCCTGGACTGCAGATTCTTGTTGTGGTCCTACAGGGCAGAGTAGATGGATGAAATCCTCAGGTGACCCACTGTGTAGCACTTCACATGCAAGACCATAAAAAGCTGAAGTCTGCCTTCAACCAGGGAAGACTGTTTTTATCGTCAAAAACACGGTAAAGGAAGACCTATCAAATGACAGATTCTAGTCACATCTCGTAAGTGTTTCTGAGGAAGGAAGGGTCTGAAAGCAAGTCTTTTATTTAACTATTGCATGGGCGGCTCAAACAGACAAGGCAGCGTTCAGTCTAAGCCTGCCCTAAAACTCTCTATCTTCTTTGGCCTAGTTGTTAGGTATTTGCACAGTTGCCTGGTACCGTGCCACGGCACCTCTCACAAAACAGCTATACCTCCAACACCTGAAAAACATCATACCAAGACCAAGAAATTGCTGAAGCCTGTATACAGTTATGCATTTACCCTTATAAACCCAGGTTCCTGTTACCAAATTAAGGTAGTTTTGTAGACATAGCCATGCTGCTCTACCTCAAGCATGCTTAAACTCACATTTCCTCCTTCACACAGTTTCACTTATTCCAAATATTGTAACACAGACTGTGACACTACGCCGTGATGAAAAAGCAAAGAAAGGAGTAAAGCTACACCATAAGCAACTGTGTAGAATAAAATAGCCAGGAGCATAAAAAGTGTAAGAAGTGTAGAAGTATAAAAAAACATAAAAAGATTATTTTGGAGAAAGTAGCAAGATGAAGCCAGGGCACATATTAATGCAAATTTATGTTGCAGAATCGAATGATTTCCCTCTGGAAAGGGTAATCTCTTGTGAGTCAGAGGTACTTGCAAGCATTGGGGGGGGGAGGGGGGAGAATCAAGAAAAACAGCATATGCATTTGTTTTACGTGGAAAAGAGCCACCACCTGTGATTGGCTCATTTTTTCTGCATCCACCACCACTCACCTAGGAACTTCAAAACTATTAATAAATGACAGCTCTGAAAATTTTTGCTTTGGAAACATTAAATAGTTTAACTTTTTCAACTAAAATTAAACTTCTAGTAAAGAATTCTGTTTATTTGATTTCAATCCAGTTAACTGTTAAACTGCATTTTCTAGGTGCAACACATCACAACTGGAAACTGTACTTAAGAAACTTCTTGTTCTCCTTTTCCTATATAGGCTAGGCTCCACGGACAGATTAACTATTTTATGACCATAACACGCTACACCTAAGCAGTTTGAATCCTACGAGAGACTGCAGAAGATAAAGGGAAACTCACAGAGGGTCCTTGAGATTGCTAAGTTTGAGGGAACTGAAAGGGAACAGCCTAACAGGAAAATTCGGATTCATCTGCTGTTTAACTGACTTGAAATGAAATATTTCAAGGCAATTCTACAAAATAAAGTGTTCTGATGTGGCAGCAGAAAAAAAACCCTTGTTTCTTTGTTTCGATAAAAATCCCTATTTTCAGAGAACAGTCTGACTGAGAGTCAGTTAACTCTCAAAGCACTTACTGGCAATTCTTTTGCCTTTAAACAGTGCATTTCCATTCCCTCTTCAGGTGTTTTAGCTACTCTCAGGCAGAGCACTCTTCTCTGGACACAGAGTGCTGTCTCAGCAGGGTCTTCCACCATCCTACACTCTTCCAAGTGGTCGAATCTCAACTATTACAGTGCAGACACTCTCAGAAGAACAGATGAGATGGGGCACTGCAGTGAAAAGAACTGTAGAAACACACTGTAAAAGACCATCCCTTCCATGAAGTTCATCACTTCAACAGACAAACGATGTGTTGTCATCTTCCTTTTACAATGGGATAATCGGACACAGAGATTTTAGGTGTTGCCTTTATGTTATACAAAATCTGAAAACAGATGAGAATGGTACCACATGTCCCAGCCTTGTGCCTTAACAATATCACTCTCTCTGCTCACTAGCAAGTATGTTTTATGTTAGAAGTGAAGAGTTTAGTTTCACAGCAGTAAAAGAAACAGAAATGAAGTGGAAAACTTCCAGTAATGAATGATTCTTTCCTTATTTCAGTCAATCCGAACAGATGCATATATTTGTTAAATTATCATCTATCTATTAGCATTTTAATAGCCTCTTTAAAGAGATTACTCTCCCCTCAAAGAAAGTTAGTTCCTGTCCTTTACCGTACAGTCAACAAACTTTCCTTTAGTCAAGATTTCTACTCAGACCACAAGATATTAAATACCAGTACTTTTTGCACCATCCAGTTCCAGGAAGCAATTTCCACACAGAAAGATAATTAGAAGCTATCTTTCACAGCATAAGATTTCTGCAGGATGAGCGTGACAGGAAAAACAAACAAACAAACAAAAAGATTCAGGAAGTAGGCTTCCTCCCCCCGCCATCGATAAATACCTTGATCTAGAGTACGGCAGCGAAATACAATTTATCCCTTCATCATCCTTCACAGATATACTCTTGTCTGTACAAAAAAATGACGCTTTCTGTGCATAATTTTAAAATCTAAACTACTTACAGAGAGATATGCAACATAAAGGCCTCTGTACCATGGGGACAGAATCTGAAGTATATTTAAAGTGCAGTTTGTTTTATGAAGTACAGATTTGGCTAAATTCAGAGTGCTTTTGAAAATCTCACTGCATCCTGCTTAAGGGGCTAAGAACCAGCTGACATGAAAATTTCAAATGCAAACATTGAATTACCCCCTAACATCATTATGTGTATCATGTGGCATACAAAGATAAGCTTAACGACTCAGATGAGACTAAGAAAATCAGCAAAACAAGGCTGCAGTAAGAATAGCTTGCAAAACAAAATATATAGAGGGATGTGCTGCCTGCACAGCTTAAATGCTGTAAGCATTTAAACAGAATACAAAAATACTGCCAGGATAAATAGGCAAAAATAAGAGAGAAAATCTCTAGAGTAAATTCAGAGCAAGTCCGTATCTCCATATTACACAAAATTCTCCGAGTCTGACCCTTTGGAAACAGGACAATCGTGAAACTTCAATTTGGGTTCCAAAGCAAATCTCTGTATACTTCGTTTGTCAGCTCAAACACAGCATTTAAGCCCTTTTCCAATGATATTCCAGAACCTTTTACAATATCATAGCTTACTGAAGCAACAAGTCCCATAGCTTTGCATATAACTTTCAGGATAACAGCGGGACAGAGTTAGTCTACCAGCCAACAGGCTACCAAAGACAAGTCTTCAGAGACGTACAGAATCTTGGCATCTATCCAATAGTCATGGCCATTTGAATCCATTACAAGCAGCCACGACATCCACCTGCTCTCAGTTATGCTGGCATTTTTAAAGACAGACGGACAGAAAGACAGACAGAAAGACAGACAGAAAGACAGACAGAAAGACAGACAGACAAGTTTCATTATGCAGATAATAAAACCTTTTCTCTCAGCACATGACAGCTGGCACGATAGCCTGGGCTGGCCTAATAATACTATGCAAAAGGCATCTTGAAGAGACAAAGTGCAAAGTGAAGCAAGAATAAGCATGGGTTTCTGCTGTTCTTCTGGTAGGAGTATCTAAACGCAGACAAAATTGGACTTCACAGGCTGCCGTTCAGATTGTTAGTGAAACTGGCCAACAGGAGGAATTAGCTGAAGGTCCTACCAAGGTCAGCAGCAGTGGTGAAATGCAGCTCTGCCTCAGCAGTACTCACCAGTGAACATCTACTTTTTCTACCATGCTTTGCCGACTCAGTAAACATAGAGAATTTTTTTCCCCCTCCTTTTTGTAGAGCACATCTGCTCTGACTGAAAAGCTCTTATTTGCTTCAAGGCCAGCAGACCGATATCGGTGCTCCGTGCTTTAGAAAGGTTTGTTCCCATATCAGATGGCAACGGGCTGAATCTCATCAACTCTGCGTAGCTGACTGTGAAAACTATATAAATAATTAGTTGAACCGCTTGAGTTACTTGTAAGTAGAGAACGTTAATTCAGTGTAAACCCTTTTCTGAGAATAACCTGAGCCCCAATAGTACTATCATATATATTAAAAACAATTACAGTAGCCACACTTCAGAAAACATGGTTTCATTCCCAGCACAGGAATAGCAAAAGCTTCCAATTATTTGAAACAAGTAAACAAATGACCATTTGTGGAGCTTTGTGACAGAATCTATTTTAATTCTAACCTGCTAGATTTGAGGTCAGCAAAGTGTAACACTGTAAACACTTCTACGCGAATACAACACAGGGGACATTCCAGTGAACTTGCTGCCATGTTAACAACTTAACAACTGAACTCCTCTAACATTCTGATCCAAGATCAAGCACGCCACTCCTGAAGGAAAGCAAAGATGGATATTGGTTGCAGCAAGAGCACTATCTGATGTTAGGATTGTGCGAACAGAAGGAAAATCCTTCAGAATGTTCCCACTGGCCCTGTTACTGCAGCAGCCAAACTGCATAGAAGCGTTAACAAAAACGCTTGCCCAGCAACAGGACAAGAGGCAACGGGCAGAAACTGAACCACAGGAAGTTCCATCTGAACCTGAGAAAAAACTTCTTCACTGTGAGGGTGACAGAGCATTGGAACAGGTTGCCCAGAGGGGTGGTGGAGTCTCCTTCCCTGGAGATATTCAAAACCCGTCTAGATGTGATCCTGGGCAATATGCTCTAGGTGACCCTGCTTGAGCAGGGAGGTTGGACTAGATGATCTCCAGAGGTCCCTTCCAACCTAAACGATTCTGTGATTCTGTGATTCTGTGAAAATGCTTGGGTAAAATTCACCAGGGACAATTCAGGGAAAATAATAACTAGTAACAATACATCAGTAAATCTCAGAGCACTTTAGAAGAGAGACATCACCCCCACTTGCAGCTAAAGAAACAAAGACAGAGTGGTAACAGCTAGTTCTAGAGCAGTAAGAGCAAGTTTTAGCAGGCCAAAAGAACAGGTCAAAATGAAACCCAAGTCCTCTTACCTGTATTTGTAATATTTGTCCCAAGCTCTAAATGGGCCTAACCGAGAGCTTACTGAAATAAACTGCAAAGCCTCACAGGGAGCAGAGGAGCTTTGTAGCAAATCTTACGCACAGATCCTGATTCAAGAAAACACCTAAGTACACGCTCAAGAGAAAGCACCTCTTGAATCAGGGCCCCAATCAAAAAAATGAGCTAACACTAGAAATTAAGTTCTCTGTTCTGACAGAGCATTCAAACACCCACTCGATAACTGTCAATCATCTCTGTAGAAGCTTTTATCGCTTGTTAATGACAGAACTCAGACGCTTGAGAAACATAAACTGTGAACGTGTTGGAGTGGAGTTATTTAGTTATAGCAAATGTAACTGAGGGAAACAAATTTTACCGCATCTTCCTCTATTCACACAGCACCTCATCTCTGGCCTCTCTACAGCCGTTCCTCTTCCAAGATTCTGAACATATTCAGTGCCTACTGAAGTCAGTATGGGTTGAAAATGCCTGCGCTCTCCCTGGAAGGTCATCTGTAAGATTTGCAAAATTGGTGCATATCCTTTAAATAATAAAGGCTGCAGGTATAACGTATTCCTATTAATACATTATAGTGATTTACAAGAATTATTTACAAGAAAAACATAAAAAAGGAACTGGAGATAATTCTCATTTCTTAGCTCACTACCTTGCCCTACAACTAACTCTTCATTCCACATTCAATCACATGACCTAAATATTTAACTAAACTGTAACCAGGACTACGATTTGGAAACTGCTGGCATCAGTAATTTTAGACTGTAAGTCACAGCAAATGACTTTTTCCATTAAACACTCTTGTTCAGTAAAATGAAATTACTGTGCAAGTGACAGAGAAGTTTCCTTTCCCCTTGTTTTCTATTAGAAAACAACCAGCTTAAGAGAGAAAACATCAATACACATGCAATGCAGGACCTGAAAAATCCCTGACTTGCAGGTGTATGCTTCATTCCATTTTGGACTCAGCTATCCCTCTTTAGCCATCTCCTGTTACTCCATTTTTGATGACTGTCTGCTAATAACATTCTAATATGTGCTAAGTCATGAAACTGAGATTAAAAAATAAAATTTACATATATAAAATGGAGACTCCCATACCGTATCAGTCTCCTGGTTTTGCAGGACCCCTTTGTGTTAGGGCCGAAGATCTCTTCTTCTCCTTTGAGCAATTTGCAATATTGAGACACCATGAAACCTAGGATGTGAGCGAGTCTGAGAGTTGTATTAGGAAAAGTACTGCCTTCGGTAGGACTGTAAAATAATCAGGACTCCAAGTTCCCTTTAAAGCTTTTACAGAGACTTAAATACACATTTTAAATAGTAGCTATGGGCAAGAGAATTGGTAGGAAAAATTAAGACTGTTTTGAGTGACCGGTATAAACCAATCTTAGCGCCATTCACTGCTCTCCTCAAGTGGAAATACAGCGTGTGTTTATGAGAGATTCATTGGAGGACACCAGATGAACTAACAGAAAACAAACAAGACTACCTGCAGTCTCCAAGTCCACTGTCTTTTTTCACACTGTCATTCCTCATACGTCCTCTCTGTTCAATGGGACCGGTCTCATGATGTTGTCAGGAAGTGGTGCCAGCTGTGGTATGAAATAGCAGAATCTTCAGGTTAAAGCTTTTCAGAATGTCTTTATAATTTTCTAAGTGTTAACAAGATTTTTTTCAAGATTTGTTCCTTCTACTAAGAAAAGGGTGTCATTTTACTGTGTAGGCGTTGCTAGTTCCAGTTAAGACATATCGCTTCATTTTCTGAATAGAAAAATGATTTTAACAATTGAATATCTACCTGTCCATATTTTTAAAAGACCACAAGCAGTCGTTAATAATTTCACTACACAGCTTGTCACTTGGACACGGTAACATTTAACTGCTTCGGAAGACAAAGTTACAGCATAATCCACTAGCAGTGGAACGCCACGGAAGTCAAGAGGTCTCAGATCTACTAAGATTAAGCTACTTAAAATACTGCTGTTGCTCACCACAGGAAAAAGCACTGTCCAGATTTGTAGTAGATAAGATTTTTTTGCAGGTATTTAAAATCACTTATTCCTATACTGAAATGCAAATTGCAGTATGTAACTCTTGGTGCCAGGCTATAATAATCTTCTCAAAAATATGCACTGCAGATGGCAAATGTTTATCATGCATGTACTATTCTGAAGAACCATGTACTTATTAGCGCTGGATCTTGTAAGCGGCACTTCAATCTTCTGCTATTGGAATTCCTTGAAAGGTTTGCAAATATTTATGTGACTTTTTGTTGATTTTTTCCTTATTTAGCGCTAAAAGAGTTCTGACTGCTTTGCAAATAAACGCAGACGTTCCCATGACAGCTTGTAACTTAAATATGAATACAGAGCAATAAATGAGAGGACTGAATGACAGGTCACAGGAAATATTATTATTCCTACTGTGTTAGTAGTAAGTTCAAAACCAGTAAAGGGCCCCACATATTGATTAAAGTGCCTTTGAAGTAGACAACACACTTCGCCAGACTAGGCAATGAACTACGCAGGACAGAAGGTACCTAAGGAATCTCAGTGGTGAGAATGAAAGAGAAGGGTAGCAGTGATGTCACACAGTTAGTTCAGTTAATCAAATTCACAACGCGTTCCATATATCTTTTAACTGAGTTTATCGTTCCGTGGAAAATTAAAACAATTAAAAACATCAAATGCAAAAAGCTCTCAGAGAAGCTCTTAAATATAAAATTCCATTCTTCATAACATTGTTCTTTTCATTCCCTCCCATTTAAAACCCAAATTTTGAACACGTTTCAAGGAAAAAAATTACACGTTCAGAGGTTTCTCTTCTCCTGAAACAACGCAGACAATACTCTTCAAGATCTCCTCTTCACCTTTTTGTGAAAATTTTATTGTAAAGTCATAGAAACTGGAAAATTCCTTCCTGAGGCTGATCAATTATTCTCTTCCTCACAGCAATTCCATATCGGGTTTTCATGCCAGCGGAGCCCTGAACAATGGCATGCTGTGCACTGGTTTACAGGTATCAGCATGCTGGGCACTGTTTTATAGGTATCAGGTATGTTTCACAGCTGGGTGATTTTACAGCTCAGAGAAGCACTCAGCTAGCTAACAGATCTGAGTTACACTCCAGGCTCTCGCAGGTGTCCAGGTTGATTCTGAAAATCTACTGGACCACATAGTTATATCAATCAATAACACATAAAGAATGAGACCCTTCTTTTTATTTGAGGAGGTGGAAGATGATTGCACTTGTTAAAAAAAAGAAGTAAAGGTGGAGAGAATTCCCTAGAGGTAAAGAAGAGAGTACCAGGAGTATTACTGGATGCAGTAGTTACAGTGGAATAAATCTTCATGTAATATCTATACTAGCGAATCAAATGCAAGCGCCAATCCTCAGAAATGAAGTGCTGTGCTACAGGTGTTTCATAACGGGATAAGGAGACCCTGCACGAGACTAAAGGATTCATAATCATTTTTTAATGTACATGACTGATGAAATTAATAAAACGCATGCACTTCTTTTCAGGCTCAAATAACTGAACGTTACAGACTGAAGGCATCCCAGCGTGCCTCCTTCCAAAATGTCTTCTCTCCATGAAACCTAGTCTCCAAAAAGCAGCTGTCTTAGAATTCACTCTCATTAGATTTCAAACTAAGAAGTCCTCTGACTCTCAGTACAGTCCCTTTCCAAAAAATAATGCCGCAATATAGAACCTCGGTGTGGCAAAATTAACAGCCCCACAGATCTTCCAAGGCTGTAACTTACTCCCTCAAAAAGTAGGTATAATATTTTATGTAATGCAACAGAATAAAGTAAAATATCAAAATTTCCACATTTGAATAATGAGATATCAAAAGGAAAAGGATGCTGAAACCTAACTTGGAACGGTGTGTGATAACTCTGGGCTCAATCATAATTCCATCAGTTTGAGCAAACTTCCTTCTGCATACTAAAATAATGCAAACAGGAAGATTAAAGCAATAATGATTCTAGGAGAGGTGGGGCAAAGAACTGTATCTTGAAATGAAATTGTAAGCTCAGATCCCATGCTCAGCTCCTATTCAGATGTATTAATGGTACTTTATGCAGTACTCACCCTGTTTTGTTTTTTTTTTTAAAAACTATTTAGCTTGCTGAGTAGATTGGGTTTATTTCGTTATTCTTCTTGGCATGATTAAAAATATTTAAATGCAAACACTTTGTGCACCATAAAACCACTGAATATACGCAAAAGACTACTCTGGAAGGGAAGGATCTTACACTGGGAGAAAAAGTGGTAGGCTTTTGATATAGGTGTTTTTTTCCTTTTTTGAGTAACAGTCAGAAGCAAAGCATGAGACTGCGACTTCACTGGCTGCCAACCTCCACAGCCTTCCTTAGAGTTTCAGCATGTTGCCATTTGGCTGGCACTTGAAATCACTATTTATTTTCCTAGTTTGTTTCGTTTCTTGTGGAAGGGGGGAAAAAGGATAGTAGCGCCTGAATATATTGCCAACTTTGATGAAGTATTGCCTTTTCTCTCTAAGGAGTAATAGATACTATAAATGAACACATGAACAGAAAAAAGATATGAACAAGTTTATAAAGACAGAGTGGAACAGGAAATGTTTTAGTTTCATTTTTCCCCATTTTCCTATATTTAGAATGAACTCAATTTCTTATTCCCCCGAAAGCATCTATCCCTTCTTTGGCATTCTTTGCAGTCTGTTCAGACAGATTTGAGATTTCCAAGTGAAAGAATAACATCAAAGATGATACAGATCAGTTGATTATCTTATTTTGCCTAACATCTGAGAAATGAATAAATGCTTTGCAATTGGCACTGGGAAATTAGGTGATTTTATTCCAAAAATGATTGGGTATTCAAACCACAGTTCACCTCCACCGTTCATACGTGAAACGGCCCATCCTATCCTGTTTCAATACTTTGGTTCATTAACAGACTATCTCTGTCCCCTCTAATTTTTTCATCAGCGTGCTGCTACATCACAACTCTGCTACCCTCTCCCCTTACACAAACAACAGCAAACTGTAGAATTCAAAAAATCCCCCTTGAAGCCAGCAGTTGCTTTGTAGAATGCGGTTTCCGTTTGGGATAGCCCTCTCAAGGCAGCTATAACGGAGCCTCATTTTGAAGGAAGTGTATGGAATTGAAGGCATCTCTCACAGCTCTGAAATTACAGTCTCTCCAATAAAGCCAGCCCTTCCTACAAACACCAACGAGGAAGCCTCGGCATAGGCGGAGTTCTGCTTTGTCCACTGGATGCTAGCCTGATTCTGTACTACTCATCTGGCGCCTACAAATGCTACTAGGATCTTTTGCGCGGCATATGTATCTATGGAACACAGCTTCTGTGAATACAACCATCTGCATATAGAAGATATATCCTATTAGATGAACAGGATAGGCTAAGAAAAATTCATCAAGGATCATCTCTTCAGGGGATCCTTATTAGGGTAGTGAGGCTGAAGGCTCCTTTTCTGCGAAAAAAGTAATCCAGTTCTTGATACTGCCATGATTTGATTATGCTTTTAATATTTTAATTGGAAGCCCAACTGAAGCGACTGCTTTCTAGTATTCTGGTATGTGCCTATACCACTAGTAAGATTAAAAATACAAGTCCAGGGGAATAAACTCTATTAAAAAATGTACCACTAACATGGTATGCCTGGCCTCATAAAAGATTTAGTCCTGCT